TTTAGGGTCAGGCTTTAGGGTTTAGGGTTTAGGTTTTACAGTTTAGGTTTTAGGGTTCAGGGTTTAGGGTTTGGGGTTTAGGGTTTAGGGTTTGGGGCGTAGTGTTTGGGGTATAGGGTTTAGGGTTTAGTGTTTGGTGCTTAGGGTTTAGGGCTTAGGGTTTAGGTTTTAGGGTTTAGGATTTAGGGTTCAGGGTTTAGGGTTTAGGGTTTAGTGTTTGGGGTTTAGGGTTTGGGTTTTAGGGCTTGGGTTTTTTTTAAAGTGCAGTGACTCCTTTTCTCCGCAGAAGCCCGCCTGTTGCAGGCGTACACTTAGTGCAGCCAATAAAGACTTGTAAGGGTTTGGGGTTTAGGGTTTAGGCAAAGCAAAGACCAAGATTTGTTGGCTTAGATTTGTTGGCTTAGGGTTTGAGGCTTTTGGAGTTTAGGGGTTTAGGCTTTTTCTGGTCTGGGCCGTGCAAGGTATATAGGGGTTTAGGGCTTTAGGGGTTTGGGGATATAGGGTTTACCAGGGTTTACGGTTCAGGGACCCGAAAACCTGATAAGTAGGGGCTCCAAGAAATTTAGGAAAGTTTAGACTCTGAGGGTTTAGGTTTAGGCTTCGGGTTTAGGGTCCTTAAGTCAGCGGGTATAGAGGATCTAGGAGGGCTTTGTAGGAGTGTTGTAAGGTTTCTAGGAAAAGTGTTTTCAGGATACTGCAAGGCCTCAACATTCCTTACGGAAGGAGTATAAGTACCTTCATTTGTTAAAGGGATTCTTTTGCAAAATTGATCACAACCTTCAGAACATAAGGGCTTCAGAGAAGTGCAGCTCACAATATGGTAAGAATCCGCTCCATCATATAAAGAACATTTTCTTGACCCTAAACCCCCAACTCTCCTCATTCAAAGGCACAGTTCCCTAATCAAGGGCTTTGGTTTTGGGTATCAGGCTGGGGACTTACGATGGAGGGTCGGCAGTTGGTCAGTTGGCGGCTGAATTACGTGTGGTCTACCCTGAACCACCATAACCAATGCTTGTTGTATAGGTTCTTGTTAGTATGAACCCTGATACAGAATTTTAGGGACCCTACGCAAAAGTGTCGCTTTTGGTAGCTCGACGTAGGGTTCAGTGCAGACACGAAGGTGTGGAAGCACACCAGTACTCACTTCTGTGTGTGTAGTTTTCTAAATTTGTGTCTTTCACTAGAAACCGGAGGCCATCACCACAAAAAATCAGTTCAGCCCTAAATCCTGGGGCAACCCTGAGTCTAAGCCCCCCAATATAACCCTTCCAAGTCAAATTTTAGAAAGCCTTAAGCGGGTTAAGGTTTAGGGTTTAGGGTTTGGGGTTTAGGGTTTAGGGTTTGGGGTTTAGGGTTTAGGGCAGTGCGTCAACCCTTGGCCCTTTACCTTTCCACATCCGCCTGCGGCTGCCGCAGGCTTGATCTCTGGCTCTGGCTGGACTTTGTACCTGCTTACCCATAGGCCCTAAAGTAAGGTAACCCCAAAATGGAACTACTATGGGGCCTATGGGTACAGCTCCTTTTTTTTGGACTAACTGTTAGAGTAAGGATCCTATAAGGTAGCCACAAAACGGAATTACAATGCAGACTATAGGTAGGGTAAAGTCTTAAACACTGGCCTTTCGAGACCTCACGGAAACGATCACTTTCGCAGAGTATTTCAGCTTGTAAGCGACGTTCTGCCCAGCCAAGAACCTAATCTGGTGTTGTTTGCTGACCTGAATCAACCGGAACATGCCTAAATTGCTACGGTGTGCCCCCTGAACCAAACCCCCCTCCCTCATGAACAAATCCTGCAAACCCGACGGCAAACACCTTAAACCCCAAACCATAACCGCCGTAACCCCTAAATCCTAAACCCTAAACCCCTAAACCCTAAACCCCTAAACCCTAAACCCTGAACCAAAAGCCCCAAGCCCTAAATACCAGAATATAGGGGCCTTAATGATTAGAATAGGGTGTTGGGGCCTTTTATACTATAACGAAAATAAGGAAAAAAAACACCAAAACTCTTCTCTAAACTATTAAGGCCCCAAATCCTAAACCCTAAACCCCTAAATCCCTAAAACCCTAAACCCTGAACCCAAAGCCCCAGGCCCTAGATCCTAAACACTAAACCCCTAAACCCCAAAACCCCAAAACCTAAACCATAAAACCCTAAACTCCTAATCCCCAAGCCCTAAATCCTATACCACTGTTGGGTAAAGCCAGCCTTGCCGACAGAAACCTTCCTTCCACAGAACGCGCATACTGTACGGTTTAGGGTTTAGGGTTTTAGGGTTTTAGCGTTTAGGGCGTTAGGGTTTTAGGGTATAGGGTTTAGGGTTCGCGGTTTAGGTTTTAGGGTTTTAGGGTCACACTGAAATCCATATCAGAAGCCGCAGAAAGCTTAGGTTTCCATACCCCCAAACCTGGTCCCCACACCTCGCACCAAGTAATCCTGACTCACAACATGGAAACGCTGAACCCTACTTTACGGATCAGGGTTTAGGGGTGTAGGGCCTGGGTTTCGAGGAGCAAGGGACCCTGTAAGTGGAGTTATAAGAAGCACACTCACTGGAGGTGAACCTCTAAGTTGAAGAAACCCGCACAAATTCCAAGGGAATTGCAGGCCCAGAAAGCATACCGGTTGGCTGTTTAGGGCTTGAGCTTCAGGGAGGATGGAGTGGACTTGTGGGTACACTGCCTTAGGCGGGAACCGGCTGTCAGCCTGTACACAGTTGTGCATTGTGGGCTGTTTCCGTGGCCGTGGTTCTTTTGTCAAACCGCTGGTGGCACACAGGGAACCTTGATCCTTAACCCTGAAACACATGATCCAGTCACTCACTACAGCCTACTTCTGTAGCCTGGGCAGTAAGACTGCAGGGCACTTGTTGCAGATCTTCAGGTACATCGTGTGCTCGTTGCCTAGATACTTGGCCATGAGCGTGTCAATCTCATTCCTTGGCCGGTCAAGGGTGGTCTGAAACTGGGACGCCAGACATTGTTGGGTTAAGGGTTTCGGTGTGTCCGGTTTACCCATAAGCCCCTTTTTGGGGTTCATATTTAGAATCCTATAAGGTAATCCCAAAAAGGAACTACTATGGGGCCTATGGGTAGGGACCCCCTTAGACGAGGGCCCCTGCTTAATTGCCCGTCCCAGCCACCAAGCCTGAAATCTCAGCGCTTGGTTCCGGTCAACCGGGATTCCACATACCTTAGCCTACCACAACCTACTTTTTGTAGGGTCCCTATCCACTCCATCTTAGGGTTCATAATCAGAACCTACAACAAAAGTAGGTACCTGTAGGTTTATAGGTAGCTGTTTAAAAAGATGCGCTAAACCTCCATGGGCTCAGGAAGCCTCCAGCAACCCTCGGACGAGCCTCGCCACAAAGAAAACACCAAACACCCCGACGTTTCCCCAACATCGTAAGCTGCAGGGCTTGATTAAGGGCTGCACATTGTGACATGAGCGGCCCAAGACCGGCACAAGCATCTTCCCAACAGAATCGGCCCGGGGAGAAATCCTGATTTGGAGGCTGGTGCTGACGTTGCTAGACCCCAGACTCCACCCGGACCCCCAAGCACCCTTTAGCCGAGCCCTTCTGGTCCTTTAATGCGGGCCTTCTTTTATAGCGTAGATCTGACCCTCAACCCCTCAACCCTAAACCCTAAAAGTGTAATCTCTTCCCCCTATTATTAAAGGCCCCCC